AGTGATTTATTCCTTCTGATACGGTCCATCCTATAATTCCTATATAACTTCATTCAACTCTTGCCTCCTTGCCGCGAAGTAGGTCGACACTATCTCCGATTTAGGATATCTCCATCGGTTCCCGAACTATATCGGAGTAACGCTGAGCCACTCGGGTTGACTCCAGTGCTACCTCATACACTATAATGTATGAGTTGGAGTCGCACCCAATGAGCAACAGCAGTTGCACCCTATCACAGTACCTCACTAAGTTCATCAGCTCAGCATGGTGGTGGTTTCGGAGAGTCGTTCATCTCGGACGCTCCAATGACGATTATTGTCTTCACCGCTACTAGGTCTCTGGAACAAGAACCCTGCAGCAGCGAGGCGTGTACGTTTTTTATCAGAATACAGGTTCTAGGAGAGAAGGGGAACGGCAGTTGATTCAAATGTGAGGGCAAAAGTGAGCCAAAAGAACACTTCAAAACAAAAAAATACAGCGTGAGCCGCCAAGACGACTTACCTTGTGATCCTGCTGATCTTCTCATGAAGGGCCCTTCCAGCGATCCAAATTTGCTTGCCTGAAGCAGCGGCGGGTTAAGCGGGTCAAGCGGATTAAGCGGGTGAAGCGGGCAAAACGAAGGATTTACTCCCTGGAGTTTCACTGATATACAGTGTCATTCATAAAGTCGGCATCATATGGGAAAAACTTTTATTAATGACTTATTTTGGAATTTGAGTTGAACGTTAAGTTTTGCTTCAAAAAGATGAAAAATGGCCTACTCAATCGGGGTCACGTGACTTTCGCTACATGTCAAAAGTGACATTTTTTCAAATTAATCGCTGAAAGTAGGCTTATTTGTTCGAATATCGAAAAAGTTCACTTGAAAAAGTTGTTTCTATTTGAATTTCACATATGTGACTCGGATCTTATCTTTCTATTACATTTTTTAGTTTTCGATATTTTTTAAAAATTTTCGAAATTTCTATAATATTAAAAAAATTGTAAATTCGACAAAACTACTTCATACCAGTAGCTTTATCATGCTACTAACTTTTAATTACTATATAATTATCACTAATTATCGACAAAAATATGATTTTCTTCAGAAAATGATAATCTCCGCTTCAAAATTCTGTTATGTTTGATGCAAACATAACATCAAAATTCTGTTATGTTTGAGTCAAGCATTCAGAAACGAAATCCATTCAAATCCATTTTTCCAGTACTGAAAAGATCAGTTTAAATTAATTTCGTTTCTAAATGCTTGACGATATATCAACTTTGCATCAAACATAGCAGAATTTGGAAGCGGGTATTATCATTTTCTGAAGAAAATCTTATTTCTGTCCATAATCAGTGATAATAAGTAATTGAAAGTAAGTAGCATGGAGAAGCTACTGGTATGAATTAATTACGTGCAATTCTTCAAATATTACAGAAATTTCGAAGAATTAAAAAAACAATCAAAATCTAAAAGTTGCAATAAAAAAATCAAATTCGAGAAGCATGTGTAAAATTAAAATATAGAAACAACTTTTTCAAGTAAACTTTTTCGATATTCGAACAAATAAGCCTACTTTCAGCGATTAATTTGAAAAAATGTCACTTTTGACATGTAGCTAAAGTCACGTGACCCCGATTGAGTAGGCCATTTTCCATCTTTTTTTAAGCAAAACTTAACGTCCAACTCAAATTCCAAAATGAGTCATAAATAAAAGTTTCTCCCATATGATGCCGACTTTATGAATGACACTGTATAGGTCGCAAGCGATATGAACTTCGCGGGAGACACAGCAGTACTGCTGGTTACTTTGCATAGGTGATCGAAAACTCGTCCAAGGACACGCATAATCTTGAGCCGCCTTGAGGCTCAGTTTCTTCGCGGTAAAAATAAACTACTTTGAAAAATAAATATATATGTTCTGATAATGACATTGCCGTTCCGCAACAAGGAGCCTTCAGTGTATTGCACCAAAATAGTGTTTCGCCGCAAAACCCAATGCCCCTTATTATGCTGTTATATACCCACGGTTCTTGGATAAGGGCTATATTGACCTCTAGTTTTGCTAGTCGCCAGAAGAAAACTCCCATGGCCGCTGAACCGTGCTGTAGATTTGCTTGTATTTTTTTAACCCTTTGGGAAGTCCCTCCATCTCCATGTGGATAGTGAGCCCTCCTGCAGGAGGGCCCTCAGTCGTCGCCCTGGATGCGATGGGTGCGGTGAGCTTTCCATCCGGTACTACCGTGCCATGCTCGGAGAGTCCTCCGTGAGAAGATCCCTCCGCATCTGGTACGATGTCCGTTCTGTCTGAAGGACCCACCTCTCCAGGATCAGTGGGCAATCTGCTGGAGGTGCCTTCTCCTGTCTTTGTTCTGCAACTGAGTCCTCACCTACCAACACTTGTGCGTTCTCCGTGACTGGCCAAGTTTGCGGGGTATCCACGTCCATTTCCTCCTGTGCCCCTCTGTTGGCCCTGAATGAGTCGTCCAAAAGGGTGACTGACGATCTCAGTGCCCTGTAGAACGGCTGAAAGTCCATACTCGTGACAGTGAGCCCTTTGTCCCCTTCTGTTCACAGGGTGGTGAGTTCCGGATTGTACATTTCCAGAGCCACTAGCTGTCGTTGGCCTCCACTACGATTCGCTCCCCGACGAATCTAGAGATGAATCTTGGTATAGCTCCTGCTGGGAGCCCCTTCACTATCCGCCCTAGAGACTCGCTTAAATCCAACAGGTCCTCGGCAGAAAACCCGGCAGACTCTCGTCCTAGTCTGACGATTGTTCTCCGGAGTTCATCGTTTCCTGCAGCTTGGGCATAAGTGCCCCTACCTGTTGCCGTTGTTTGGTCCACCCTGCGTTGTCTGCCATCTGGGCCCCACTTCCCCGCAGATCCTTTCGGGTCCTGCTTGGTGGCTCGTTGTCCAGCGCTTGCTGTATTCTCCGAGTTCCTAGGCGCCTGCGGTCTGAGCCCTAGAACTCGTTTGTGCGCTTTCACCATACTACATCTTTTAATTATTATTGAATGCCCGGCATCATTGCAAAAGTCATTGATACGTCTGGTGCTTGTAATCTCGCCGAAAGCAAACGCTTGTGTTGGGCTATTAACCTCTGATCAATGATTACAAAACTTTCAGGAAAACTTTGATGCTCAAATCTTCCAAAATATTTTCTTCGACAAAAATGAATTCTTTCATTTCGTTATGTTTTTTCGTCTTCTATCATTTATCTGTATGTATACAGGGTGTTAGTGAATACGTGTGTCGAATTCCTATTATTTTCCCAAAAACTGAGCGAGATATAAAAGTAACACAAGTGATGGTGAAGTTGTTATTTCAATGATTCGATCTAATAAAAATATGGAATTCAGTAATTCAGAAAATCCAATGGAGTACATTACATTGATATATTCATTATAAATATCTTTGAAATAATCCACTGTGACGCCACTGGAAATATTATTTTGAATCTGATTACATCAAACATAGCTCCATATTACTACTAACAAAGCCATCGAGTTTCAAGGAAATCCATAAAAAGACATTCGAGAAATGAATAAACATAAGATTTTTCATGGGAATATACCCATATCTCGAAAGCGAAGTAAGTTAGGACACATTGTTATATAAACTTCATTTCCTGAAGTTTGTCGCACTCATTCTCTAACACCCTGTATGTACATAAACCCGTTTTGGAAAATTTTTATAACGTTTGGGGCATTCGATTTTGTGTCTATCAATAGGTTCAGTCACGAGCAAAATTTGGTTTTAATTTTTTTCTCATTTCTCAAGTACGATGCAGGAAATGAAAAAAATCCAAAGAGTTATTTCGGCAATTACACCACATTCGGCGAAATTTCCGAACAGCTGTGGCGGTTTTCGGCAAAATGCCAACTTTCGGCAGTGTCCACATATCTATTTCGGCGTTTTGGCCGAAAATTTGGCAATTTGTCCATTCGACGACTTGTCCCTTTGGCGAAATGTCCGGATCCCCCTGTGAGTATCATATATAGATAGACAATCTTCTCATGTTTCAAGAAATGTGATATAGGTAAGTACTTGTGTACAAACTGTGAGAAATCAGATCCGAAACGGATGAATCCGGACACAAAATGCTACCTAGGCAGGTACAGATAAGATATCTAGTAGAAAATCCACTGCCCGAAACCTGAAACGTTACAGTTTTCCATTACAAATTACAAGAGAAGCAGAACACGACGTCTCGATTGCTCAGCGATCCAACCATGGCCATCCTCGACCAAAGGTAAAAGACAGCTGACTGAGTCTGACAGAGCCGTCACAGTGGGGAGAGATAGACACGGACCGGTTCACTGCAACTGTTATCGACTAGAGTCTAGGGCTAGCACCTTCTGAGGGGGCGAATGTACCCGAACGTAAGAATGTCCTTGACTAACGGAATTCCTCTGAAAGCGCGCCAATTTATTGTTTGTTTTGAACATAACTATGTAGGCGTTAGAATTTTGAATCATATATTAATGAATATAGAGAGATCCGTATATTAACAGCAGTTAGAGCATGCAAAGTTTATGTTCGGTGCCAGTATCACACACATCAGATTATCAGATTAGATGATAAGTGAAGATGGGGTAAGAACAAATTAAAACAGATCTGAAATATACTAAAGTCTGTTATGAGATTTTCCATATTTATTTTAGTCAAATAATAATATGAGTAATACCAACCAAGAACAAACTTTCAAGATACAAAAAAGAATATCAATCGTTCTCCCCTCTTCGAAGGATTTTATCGTATAGGTTGTCGGCGCTCGGGTAAATTCGCCTCCTCAGATGGTGCTGGCCCTAGACTCAAGTCTGTTATGTTATCGCAAGTCGCCAACAAGAAAACCAGTCGACGTTTGTCTTTCGACGAGAATTCGCGTCAGGCGCAGCCAAAAGTTCTCCTACACGCGGTCTACGATATTTTTGGCGCGTCAAGTTTTTCGAATGAAGCTCGAAAAGTTGCCTTCTGTCGCAAATTGTTATTATTTTGATAATTGACGAGATGTATTCGATGAAGACTCTAGTGTTGTGTTTGTTAGTTTGTGTGACAGTTTGCGGTACCATCAGGAAACCAAAACCCGTGGTCATATTGAAGTGCTGCAAGAATAATGAATATTTACCTTTGAGTGGTGATAACAAATGTGTACAGAATGATTCCAGTTCGTGGCATATCGATATCTTCAATGGAAGAAAAGGACACTTTGAAATGCACACTTCACTACCCGAGCATTGGATCATCAAGGAAGGCATGATTCCAAAATGTGCGAAACCGAAGAAACTGTTTTTCAAAAGCAGAAGTAGTATCCCTTTTTTGAACGGTTCCATTTACAGCGTCGAATATGGAAAACTGTTGCATCCAGATCAAATCTGCATCGACTATAACGCATTCTTGGTCTGTCTGAACGAACCGCATAATTTGATTAAAAAGTGTTGTGGTGAAAACGCGATTTTTTCGGAAACGAACGGGACTTGTAGGAATTTCAACGACCAAAGTTACAAAATTGATGTAGGCCAAAATTGGACATTAGGTGCGGGATTTCCAATTTGTACTGAGAACAAACTACACGTGGTGGTTGGGGAACTTCACAAATCGAAAATTTTCGATAATGGTAGTTTGTTGGTGGACAATAAAATTATATTGTCGGCTGGGAATTTTTGCCTGGAACATGTGTTAGAACATACTGGTAAGTTCGATTGTGCATGGTTGACCATGACCATGATTAGAATTTTTGATTTGTTAGTCATTTTTTTCAAGTTTGGAATGCCAAAAGTATGAATAAGTAGTATGATAATTCCTAAAGTGAGCATAGACCAGCTCGGGCAAGCTGGTTCGATAAATAGAAAATATTCAAGATAACGGACATACCTAGAGGTGCATCTATCCGAGTATCTATCTGTCTCGTCTGATCTCGTTTATCTATTTCGTAGTCATCTGGCTAGGTATTATCCCTATATGTATGAACATGAACCCTGAAGAAGTATTCCCGATCCTCTCAAGGAACGCACTATGTTCTTCGAACATTACAGGGATTCTTTTTCGCGCGTTTCAAGCGAGGTTTCAAGCGATAAAAAACGAGCGAGGTAGGTATAAAGACCGAGATAAAGTCCCCTCAATACTCGCAACATAGATTAGTAATTATTTCATCAATCATCATAGAATTGCAAGTATTAATTATTATAATAAGTAACACCCTGTAGATGACAAGAGGCAATGTATGTAACTCTGAACACTGGAGTTGTATCTGCTGTCTGCTGTGAAGATTTTCATTATATAGGTATTATACGGCTTGGTATACGGTATACTTCGAGACGTGTACTTCAATGAAAATAAAATCATCGTCGTCAAAACTTCCACTCTGGCTAATCGACGTAATGAGTTAGGTACGCAGGCATTAGATTAGGTATATCAAAATTGGTGAATATAAGACAGGTACAGCGGAGTACCAACGAATTTACCATGTCGGTTACCATGTCAAAAATGCGAGAAAAAGGATTAGAAATATCATGGCTAGAAATGATGGGGAGAATGCCCATGAAATATATAGCTATCTACTAAATCATCAAATGAGTAGAAGAGTAAAACACTTGTGTTAGAACCTCAGCTAGAACCGAGGGTAGAACTGTTGGAAGCGAAGTTGGAAAGCCTTATATATTTCAAGGTGGTTCAGAGCTTCAATTTGGACAGAAAATCCGAGAGAAAATCCAATGAATTTCCGAGTTTGCTTTCCACCCCTAACACACCCAATGATCCTTTTCAGGTACCTACCTACCGAGCTACCTACTAAATGCAAAAAATATCGACAATATCGATAATATCGAGGATAATATCGATAATTTCGATAATATCGACAATTTTGATAATATCGAAAAACTGATGATATCGATACAATGTGATTATCGATAATAGATAATCAAAAATCACTATTGCCCACCCCCATAATGGAGAAGGGGAATTTTGCCTTTTTTGTATTTACGAATACGAGAAGTAGACTATTAATTGTGCGTAGTAGTGGTAGTAGTGTAGTAGTAGTAGCTCGAGTAGTAGTGTAGATAATAATGGAATGAGAAAATACTTCTAAATAACCTCGTAAATAACTAACATGCTGTGAAATCAATAATCACCAACTTGACCACGGTCGAGGTCGTGGTATTGGTTCTGATTGAATGATCATCTAAATTGTTCTAAATCATAGAAACCGTATATCATGCTCTTGTGCGAGGAAGCAATGATGGAGGCCTTACCTTTTAACGTGTGATCCCAAGAACTTTCTAAGTGAAAAATTTCTGCAGTCGTTGGATTCGAACCCACGAACTAGAATACTGACGCTTCTACCACTCGGCCACCTGGCGAATTGGAGCATAGGTGTTGGATCTATAGATGTTGATAGAACCTCCTGAGAAAATACCGAAGAAAATAAACTGTCTAAAATATCTTGTACTCGACCCGGTATCTTGAGTCTAAATTTTGAAATTCAATGTTTTGCTTGGTTCTGGACATGGACGTATATGGTTCTGGAGATTTCTTGAAAATAACGAAAAACCGAGCGAAAAACTCACAAATTACGCTGCAAGATTTGAAAATACCATGAACATCAAAGTTTGGTATTGAACTCGCTATTGAAAATTCCTCGGAAATGAACACCTCAAAAGCACGGGCACGGGCTGTTGCATTAAAAGTATATTTTTGTCGACAACAAGTTTAATTAATGTTTAATATAAAATAGATCGTATATATGACCTTGGATAAATTCCTTTATTAATGAACGATTATGGTACACAAGACTCGATGTTATCAACAATCCACACGTTTTCTTTTTGAATTTTCACTTTCGATGATACTTAGGTATACAGGATTTATCGAATTATTCGATTCATTTCCCGAATACTTATCGAACCATGGGCGCCGCCAGAGAAAATTTCAGGGAGGATGTGTTTATATAACTGAAAGCATTGCATTGAATTGAAATTAAGATCGTTCTGACCAATTTCTACTACAAGTGTAGTTCAAAAATATTACCAGAAGGATGTGAAGTAGGTTTTGAGTAGGTCAGTTTGATAAGTATTATCTCGAGTATTATCGAGAGTATTATACGAGTATTATAAAAACCTCGATAAAAACTAATTTTTAAAAAATATCACCTATACATGAAAACATTAATCACAAACATAAAGGAAACATGGCTGAAAGTGACGATACTCAAATTATAGAATTTTTTCACAAAAAATTAGTTTTTTAGATATTATAGGCGAAAAAACATATTTTTCTCCGATTGGCAGCAAATATTAATTTTGCTGACACATATCAATCAGCAAAGTATTACTTTTCCTGCCTAGGCAGCAAAGTGGTTACTTTGCTGATTGATATGTATCAGCAAAATTAATAATCCATAAATCGTTTATAATTTCCTTCATATTTCATCCGAGACTTCTCCGGAAACAAATTCAACTCTATATTTTTTGCCACCTCCCTCATTTCTGGAGGTGTAAGTACTTCGCTATCACTGTCCATCATATAATGATTTAAACGGATTTAAATATACCGATATTTTTTCGCACAACTGTCAGAAATTTCATGAATTGTCAAACTATAATTATTATGGACATTTCCATAGCAACCAACCATTCCAACAACTGCGATTTCTATTCAATTTTATTTTAATTGAACACTACAGGAAAAATAAAGAGATATATATCATTATGAACAATCGGAGAAAAAATTATATGTTCAACTCGGCAGAAAAGTAGATTGACTGCCTTAGCTGGATTCCTTTGCTGCCTAGTTAAACAAATAACTACTTTTCCATGTTTTTGGGCTATAACCGGCTATAAATCAAATTCCAGGAAAAATGTTTGGTGACAAACTCCATATTCGTGATGAACATCCTAGAATACATACTATATCAAAAATGCGTAACTACTTCAAAATTTCTCCTAATTGAATGACTGGACTACTTAGTAAAGGAAAATTTTGATTATTTCAATACGACACCAAAAATCATGACTGAAAGACCCGAATCGATGGCCTTTTGGAATAAATATTCCATTGAAATATAAAATAAAATAACTAAAGGAAACATATTCCGCAGGAATGAATAACCCGAGGGGATATACCTGTACATTTAGCTATGCAAATACTGGCAATTAGCAGGAAATACCAGAAATATTCAGGTAATACACGCAATATTTTGGAAATACAAGAAATACCTTGGCAATACAAGAAATACCTCGAGAAATACCAATACCTTGGAAATACAGGCAATATTGACGCTCTGCCACACTATAGATCAGTTTGAATCGCGGCACGTTTGGATTATCGCGAAAGGGAAATGTTTCCCTTTCATTTGCTATTTGTTTCAACTCGTTATCACATGACGGAAGTATGTCCGGAATAATAGGAGCAAATAAATCGCTGTGCCGTGGACTTGGCTCAGACTGAGGGGTGTCACAGGTATAGGTTTTTGAGATCCACCATTCAATTGGTATCGGATGGCATAATTCTCATCTCGTTATCAAATCGCGAAATTGAGTGCAAATTTCTGCACAGGAAAGTGCAATTTTTTATCATTTCGCTCAGGATAGTGATTGGCACAGGTGCCGTTCGATGAACTACAATGTTTTTACTTTCTTTTGGGACATATATCATTTCGTTTTCAGATAGCGGTAGAAAATCTGCAGCCGGTTATCCTACTATTAGTATATTGTTTAACGAGCACGGAATGATAGTGATTTCCCACGAGAATGGGAAATTAACATTCCGTGCGAGTTATACACTATAATTTTTCTACGGCTGTAACAGATAACAGCGACATTTTTGATTTCTTCGTCTTGTATAGCCGAGTGTATAGCCATCTGATTTCCTCTGAAGTAATGCTCATCCGAGTGCTCATCTATTAGACAGAGATGTCATTGTTTGAAATTTGACATTCCATGGCAATGAGATTTTTTTTGAAATAATAACACAATGGAGCTCGCAATGGAGTCATTGTGATATCAGATACGGAAATAAAATTGATGACAAACAAAGTACCTCATTGAGTTTTGAGTTCCACATTGAGAGTAAAAAACGCAAGTCGGCTCAAGTCTCTCGATAACTTGAGGTTTTCTTCGATAAAACAGACCATAGTCTTTAGGGATATCCGGCAAAATTTTGGGATTTTTGACTTTGACACTGACCTCACGCTTTAGTTCCGCCAACTGGTGAGGGTGAAAATGAGCCCTCATTGCATCCTTGATATCATGAACAATAAGAAATACATACACCTCATTGAACATTTTTTTGTTGCCATTACAATTTATTTGTTATCAACTTAGGTATTCTTCGAGGTATTCTTATATTGGAATATTGCGAGTCCAAAGTGAATGACCCGAGATATTTTTATCTAATATAGTTAATAATAACCCGTAATAATCAGAATATTTGGAAAAACACTGTCTCTGTCACAGCGATGAACCGGAATAAATCTGCATAGGTTATAATGGTTCCAACAAAATAAAAATATTCTGATCCGATGTTGTTTTCAAATTAGGTGTACACGAATAATAAACTCGAGAATCACGTGCCCAATCACCTTAGTATCAAATTTGACAAATAGCGGGAATCGAACCAAAGTTTTGAAAATTGGTGTACATGTTCCCTTTGGCATGACTTTCAACCAAAAAAAAGTCACCACCTGTACCTGTAGAG